TAAGATCAACATCATTCCATTAATTCAAGAGATACACAATGCATATACGAGAGAAGGATTTTTCATTAAATGAAATGAACCCGCGCTTTATACATCATTATAAACCAAATCAAGATAAAGAAACATAGAAATAATAAAATCAGAGTATAGACAAAAGATGATAGAAATTATCAAACCAGAATCCAAATAAAAGATCATAGAAAACATAAAAGCAGAATAAAAATGAAAGCAAATAGCAATCATGAGTCAAAGAACATATGTCTAATCCCCAGGTCCAATCTCATCAACAAATCACACGCCGAGCACTCGTGCCCGCCTTTGAAAGGCTGCCAGTGCTGGTTCTTCTTCAATTTCCAGATCTTCACGTTCTGTGGGATCCAACGTGGAGAGCCAATCTACAGAATAGCAATCTATAGGCAGACCGGCTGGAGCCGAAATTTGACTTTCCTTTCTGTCCTCATCATCTTCACGCAACCTGATTCGAGGCTTGGCTCCACGCGTCCCCTTCGGACTTGCTTTTTTCTTGGTATCTTGGTAGACGTCGAGTCTTACTAGAAGATCCTCCAGAGCGGGACTCCGCCATGGCAACCGAAGGACTCTGCAACGTTTCTGTTTGTCAGCTGGAAGATCTTGATCGTCGTCTGTCTCGTCGTCACTTGTAGCCGCCTGGATGAGAGGACACAGTCCCCACATTCCATTTAAACCTGTAGCGATTGTACATCTGCGAGTTTTCCACTGTAGTCGGCAACAAGCCAAAAGTTAGATTACCAACTTCAGTCAGAATCTTCCAATGATGCCTTAAAAGTTAACATAGAACACACGACTAACCACATTCAACCTACTGTGTCGATTCCCATGCTTGTGACGGGCCTCCAGTTCGCCTCTCGACATGGAATTGTACTCGCGAAAGCTGTTTCAGCAGATGATTGAAGTCAGCAAAGGTCAGTGAGTTTGCCAGTTTGCTTTCACAGAATGCATCACTTACCTTCGTTGTAGTCTCTGTCGGGCATGTTTTGTGAGAGCAGTATACACCACCGAAGACTTGGCTTCGCCATTAGTCACATCATCGTATTCGCCACATTGCACCAACCGAATGAAGATCGCAGTGGCTAGTTGCCACAGGAACTTGTTTTCCGCAGAGCTCATCTTGTCCTCCCAGATAGGTCGAAAGGATCTTACACCAACACTCGTCATCATTTTCCACATAATTAGTAAAACCTGTGGGTTAGAGTCTTCGCCCCCAGGTCCGCCTCGGTAAGGAAAACGCGGATCCCTCTCTTCATCCACCTCTTCTTCTTCTTCCAAATCCAGATTCGAGTTGACAAAGTTTTTTGGTATTTTTCGCTTCCATCGAGACCGTTCTTGTTCGCTTGCGCTAGGAGGCACCCGGCCCTCATTCTTCAATCCCATTAGCGTCCAGATATGACGTCGTATTCGACGCTGTGCATGAATTAACAAAAATTGGATTCAGGTACGCCACTTGAATTGCGCCATCTCGCATGACAGCTTACCAAAAAATCGCCGCCTTGTGGTTTCTTAGCTTGAGTTCCACGTGCCCGATTAGCTGGCCCCACAGAAAAATCGCGCCTCATCTGTTTCATCGCTTCGGCCATATCGCGGACAGCAGTTGCTATTTGAGATACGTTTTGGTCAGTTCGTTTTTGATTTTGTTCGAGCCGCTTCCAACGTTCGCTTTCTCCGTGATTCGACATTTCGTCATCACCCTCAGAACGGTATGGATCCGCATCAGGGATTTCTAAGTCTTCCAAGAGTCGATCAATGTTGCGGGACGCCTCCTTGCCGCTGAAATGATCATCTTCCGACATGAGATCATCATCTGGCTGGTCAATATCTTCTAGATCATCTTCTGGCTCGTCGACATCGTCCTCTTCAGAAGGGTCTTGGCGTTCTTCCTCCTCAGGATCATACTCGGACTCGGACACCGCTCGCTGCTTTCCTTTGTCATTCGAGTTCAGAACGGTGGGACGGGGGCGGGGTAGGGCTGTACCTCTTTCACGACTTGGAAAATCTACCATGTTCCCGCCTGCTCTCCCACCAAATAGTCCTTTGATCAGTATTGTGCATAAATTTGCATGCCTGAAAACAACTCACTTGGGCGACTTTCTTGCAACCTTCCAACCTCAGACCTATTGGTAAGTCTTCTGTTGGCCGGTGTGATATATTCGAGATGAGTCCGAGATCCTATACAAAATTAAATGATTAGCAATGTAGAGATTAATCTACGACACCTACTTCCAGGTTCACTGACTTGTATCCGATTCCTCCTCCTCGTCAAGATCAGAGATTTGTTGTTTCGATCTCTTC